TCACACTTCTCACACACTGACATAATGGTATGTTTATGTGTGTGCAGTGGTGTGTTGGTAAGTTCTTAACAACTAGCTCTCCAGGAAAAAAAGTAAAGCCCTGTATTACAGCATTTGCTAATTATTGAAATGTAACTATTCCTACCTTGACTGGTTTCAAGCTACCAACTGGACGTCACTGAACTCAGAGTTGGAAAAACTAAAAAGAAGCCAAACCCATTGCCATTGAGTCAATTCCGACTCACAGCGACCCTATAGGACAGAGTAGAACTGCCCCATAGGATTTCCAAGGAGCCGCTGGTGAATTCAAACTGCCAACCTTTTGGTTAGCAGCTGAGCTCTTAACCACTGTGCCACCAGGGCTCCAGAGTTGGGAAGGGATGAGCATAATTGGCTCAGAACTGGAACAAGTCAACTCCACCACACCTTGTTTGTGTCTTTCCCAAAAGGCTTGGAGCTCCTGCAGGGCTAGGACAATAATTTCTTATTTTGGCATCCCTAGCTGTTAGCATAGGGCCACACAACACACAGACTGACTAAATCACTATGTTATTGTTGTATACCATGAGTTGATTCCTACTCCTAGTGACTCTGTAGGACAGAGTAGAACTGCCCCATAGGGTTTCCTAGGCTGAGATCTTTACAGGAGCAGATTGCCAAGTCTTTTCTCCCAAGAATGGCTGGTGGGTTTGAACTACCAACCTTTTGGTTAGCAGCCAAGTGCTTAACTGTTGCGCCACCAGGATCCTTATATAGTTGACTAAATCAGTCCTTTTGTGGAGGTTCTGAGTAGTGTGTAATTTCCTCATGAGTTAGAGTAGTGAAAATTCTAGATTACAGGAAGGTCCATCCAGCCAACCAACCATCTGTGCATTCATTCATTCAGCACATACTGGTTACAGTGCTGCACACTGGGGATGTAATGATGAACAAGACAGTCAAGGATTTTATCCTTATGAGTTGACAGTTTATTAAAGATGCAGAGAATCAGCTATGGATAAAGAGAGACAACTGGTACCCTGTTGCCTGGCTGAGTAGGTGGCAGATACATATTGGGAGTAGCACCAGGAAAGGGTGGAGGGTATTTGGAAAGAGGAACCAAGAATGGTCTGCCTTTTATTCCAGGACTTTCAGAACCTTACACTTTGACTCTATTTGGGATGTAGCTGTGGGGAACAGTGTAATTTTTGCCTGTCCAGCATCCATTCCCCCTTCTGGTAATAACTAACCAGGTAACTCATTGCCATCAAGTCGATTCCGACTCATAGTGACCCTATAGGACAGAGTAGAACTGTTGCATAGGGTTTCCAAGGAGAAGCTAGTAGGTTTGAACTGCTGACCTTTTGGTTAGCAGCCATAGCTCTTAACCACTGTGCCACCGAGGCTCCTTCTGGTAATAGTGCCTCAATTTTCTGCCTTTGGGGAGGCCATCTCTTCCACTGTCAGTCCAGAGAGTTGGGTGGGAATGACTCCATCTCCTACCCACCCTACAGCTCCTTGGTGGGCAGGTGACCCAGGCCCTGGCTGCAGTGATTGGGTTGTAGATGGTCACCATGACTCAGGCCAATGAGACCATTCCAGGTCTTCTGTGGGAACTACTGGGAAAGAGAAACTCTCATTTCCTGCTGGGATTGTTAGTAGTAAACCTGGAGTTCCCTAGGACTATGGTGTGAGAAGAGCCAAAATGGAAGAAAGAACAGCAGAGAGTTAGAGAATGCGAATCTTGATGACAGCATTTGAATCCTGGATCAAACCTTGCTTGAAACCAGTACGTTTAGATTCCTAATTTACAAGAGTCAAAATAATACCCTGTTTTTTTGTGAGGCAAGTTTAAGTTGAATTCCTGCACTAGCAAAAACTTCTGACAGGCATCTGCAATGTGCCAGACTCAGTGCCCATAGCATATTCTAAACCCCACACTTCTGGGCAACACTCAAAGAATCAGAAAACTACAGGATCCTGTAATTTTAAGGATCACAGCCCTGTATCTCTCTCTCATCATACTTATAACTTTTTGTCTTGAGTTACAGCTCCCTGTGTACATATATTATCTCCTCTATTAGACTGCAGGAGCCTTCAGGTCTGCTCCATACCTGGGTTTTCTTGGCTTTTACATAAGACTTAGCAGAGTCTCTTGCACGTAGTTCATGTGAAATGCATATCCAACACTTACTAGGTGCTAATGGTTGTGTTGAATGAATGATTAAATACATTATCTTATTGAGTCCCCTCTATATGATATATGAGGAAACTAAAGCTCAGGGAGTTGCTTGCCCAAGATCATGTGAAAAATGTAGCTCAGGGACCAGCACATTGGAGGTACAGGTGGTGGCAGAGCCAGAACTGAAAGCCACAACCAATCAAAGGGAGTGCCTTGAACCAGGGACTACCAGGGTAGGTTGATGTCCCGTCCAGCCCTGGACTTCCCAGGCCCTGAACAATCCCTTCTGTGACAATTCCTTCCCTGAGCTAGAAATAAACCTGGGTGATGTCTTTAATGATTGAGGGCTAGTGACGCTGCCTAGTGCACCCACCCTGACATTGGGGACTTTTGCCTGAGCCTTCTAGAAAGCCAGTTTGGGGCATTCTTCCCTTTGCCCGCAGATGCTGATGGAGTGGCCCTGAGTCACATTGGTCTAGCACTGTGCTATCCTTTATGGTAGCCACTTGGCATGCATGGCTATTTAATTAAGTTAAATTAAAAATTCCGTTTCTCAGTTGCAGTGGCCACATTTCAAGCGCTTAATAACCATATGTAGCTAGAGGCTACCATATTGGACAGCACATTTCCATCATTGCAGAAAGTTCTATTGATCAGTGCAGGCCTAGAACCACCACACTTCTAGGAGCAGAGCATCTGTGTGTGTGTGTATGAGTGTGTGCATGTGTGTGTGTGCGTGTGTCTGAGTGTTATTGAGGGGTTACTATGAGCCAGGCACTGGGCTCACTTGATAGGTGTTGTACAAGCATCATCTCATTTAATCCTCATAATAGCCCAGTGAGGTCGGTGTAATTATTATCATCATTTTACAGATGAGGAAACGGAAGCTCAGAGAGGTTAAGTCACTTGCCCAAAGTCAAACAGAAAGAAAGTGTCAGAACGAGGATTTGAGTCCAAGTCCTTGTAACTACTTTCTGCTGAAATACATTTGCCGTTGTGTTCTCTGAGACAGTTTCTGCCCGTGGGTACTCAGGGTAGTAGCTATTTACCAGCTGGTAGAGAGTTATTTCAGTAGTTTCACAACCAGCACGGCCCTACCAGTCACCACCAGCTTTGTGCCAAGCAGTGTGCCTGGTGTGGGGGTCACCAAGCCAGGACGACCGAGGACTTTGCAGGATTGCACTGAAAAGGGAAAGCCCTGAGCAGCCCCTGGCAAGAACTTCTGCTGAGGGCCACCGCATCTGTCCCCACCATGCAACTCACCGGGGGGCTTCTTCCACTGCCTCGACAGGGCACCAGGCAGAGACTTCACAGGTCTTCTGGTTCCCTTTGTACTGTACACACTTTCCAGTCTGGACTCCTGTGGAATCAAGGGGTGGTAGGACCACCAAAGTGAAAGAACCATGGAGAAGAAATTCCCCAGGAGGCAAATCATTAACTCATCCATGAAAAACTCCTAAGCACAAATGTATATGAGATAAATCAACCTGAGTGAGACTATTTATGCTTCTCAAGGAAAACAGTTTCAGGTTCCATGAAACCGCATCCTAACCACAAACGTACGTAACGTAAATCAAACAGGCAAAACAACGCTAAGATTTTCAAAAAAGGAGCAAAGAGATCCAAAAGAATTGAAAGCAGGGACTCAGACAGGTACCTGTACGCCAGTGCTCATTGCGGCACTATTCGCAGTAGTGAAAAGGTGGAAATAATCTAAATATCCATCTATAAATGAATGGATAAACACAATTATTGAGCCATGAAAATGAGTGAAGTCCTGATACGTGCTATGACATGGATGAACCTTGAAAACACGATGCTAAGTGAAATAAGCCAGACATGAAATGTCATATGTTGTATGATTCCTCTTATATGAAATATCTAGAACAGACAAAGTCATAGAGACAGAAAGTAGACTAGTGGCTACAAATAGACTAATGGTTGGGGTGGAGGGGGAAATGGGGAGTTACTGCTTAAGGGGTACAGAGTTCTGTTTGGAGGGATGAAAAGTTTTGGAAATAAATAGTGGTAATGATTGCACAACATGGTGAATGTACTTCATGCTACTTAATTGTCCACTTAAACATGGTTAAAATGGCTACCTTTATATATATATTGCTACAAAAAATTTTTTTTAAAAGTTAGAGCACAGAAAGACTGTGTATTTTTTTTTTTTTTAATAAAAAAGTTGCCTGAGAGGGAACTGAATAGGTATATTATCTTGCTTGATATAGATAGACTAGAACTTGGCTTCTCAAATGGGCATCGGAGTACCCCTAGGGTCCACAGCACATTCCAGGGATGTACAGAGTCACAGAATAAACATAGCGGATCTTCCTGGAGCCTCAGTGGTACGAACAGATTTCAGGGAGTAAAGTTAATTAAATAGTAAATAATGTTAAAATTACTTCTGTATCAGCTCAAACACTTATATTATGGAATCGAACGCACCTTCACGTGCCTTTGTAAGTTAAAATACAAGACACAAAATGGAAATTCTGCGGGTTGCTATGGGAATTGCCCCCAGGGGCCCTGGGGTACAAGTTCATGCTCCTTAACCTTTGGGGATAACTTAGAGGAACAGTTTAGAGTAATCAGATGGTGCTATGGGCCATCTGAATGTTTCTGCCAATTAGAACCCTGAGCCTGCTAATTCTGCTGGGCTCTCAAGAGTTCCCCTCACTGGGGATTGGGAGTCAGGTTCATGGTCAGCAGTGGGCCTCTGGGGACAGAGCCGAGGCACACGCAGACTCCAACTTGCCTGTGGCGTGGTGGTGGCGGAAGGAGGCTGAATGCCAGACAACTAAAGAACTGAAGTGGGCATCACGAATGTCGCCATGATGCCAGTCCATCCCACCCCAGGGTCTCAGGAAAAGAGACAGAATGTACCTTTGCTCTGCGGGTCCATCCATCCTTTTTTACAGTTCCGGTCACTGGAGCAGAGTGTCCTGCGGGTGGGGTACTATGGGAGAGATGGGACGATGGGGAGCAAGCAAAGGCAGCACTAAGACACTTACAGGCGGTGGCTGTGTCCACTCAGGAACCTGCACACAGTGTTCACGGCGGCACTATTCACGATAGCCAACAAGTGGAAACAACCCAATGTCCATCACCAGACGAGTGAATAAACAAAACATGGTGTATTCACACGATGGAATATTATTCAGCCGTAAACAGAAATGAAGTCCTGATAAACGCTACAACATAGATGAACCTTGAAAACATGTGCTAAGTGAAAGATGCCAGTCACAAAAGGCCACATATTGTACGATTCCATTGATATGAAATGTCCACTTATATGAGGCAAATCTGTAGAGACAGGAAGTAGATTGGTCTTTTCCTGGGGATGGGGGCAGGGGGAGTGGGGAGTGACCACTAATGGGTATTGGGCATCTTCTTGGGGTGATGAACATGGTCTGGAATTAGATAGTAATGATGGTTGCACAGCTCTGTGAAGTTACTAAAAACAAGTGAATTGTATAAAGTGGTGACTCTTATGGCATATGAATTATATCTCAATAAAAAAATAAAAACAAATAAACATTTAAAAAGTGGATGCCAAGGAAGCCAGGGACACTTTCAGGGAGCAGGTGGAATGATAAAGACAGGCACGAGGGCTCAGCAGGAAATTGGAAATAAAGGACTCCAGCCAATACTGGCTTCTGGCCCGAGAAAATGAGGGCAGCCGGCTCTCAGGCTGAAGGGCAGAATTAGGGAAAGAGAATCAAAAGAACTTGGTTTATGCATATTTGACTTCCTGTTTCCTTGGCAGCAGGCTTATGGCCAGTCTTGGGGAAACCAGAAATTGGCATAGGCGTCAAAGAAGCCTCAGCTCCTTATCCTCTATGCGGTTTGTGGCTTTTACAGAGAGAGACGCGGGGGGGGACCCAGGTCTTGGATGCAGGCACACCTGGGTTTGGCAATAGCTGTGCTATTCTCTGGCTGAGTGACCTTGGCCAAGACACTTCCCCTCTCTGAACTTCAGTCTCCTTATCTGTATAACAGGAGGATGCACAGATCTGTCTTCTGTGGTGGCAGTGAAGACTAAGTGAGTTATGACAAGAAGGGGTTTGGTCACTGAGGGGGCAGTGGTGGTTCAGTGGTAGAATCCTGCCTTCTGTGTGGGAGACCCAGCTTCCATTCTTGTCTGGGGCACCTCATGCACGCCACCACCCATCTGTCAGTGGAGGCTTGTGTGTTACTAAGATGCTCAACAGGTTTCAGCAGAGCTTCCAGACTAAGATGGACTAGGAGGAAAGACCTGGTGATCTATTTCCAAAAATCAGCCAGTGAAAACCCTGTGGATCACAGCAGAATACTGTCCGATATAGTCCTGGAAGGTGAGCCTCCTGGGTTGGAAGGCACTACCCAAAAGTCACAAGAATGGACTCAAACATACCAACGATCATGAAGGTGATGCAGGACTGGGCAGCATTTTGTTCTGTTACAAATAAAGTCACCCTAAGTCAGAGCCATGGAGCCCTGGTGGCTTAGTGGTTAAGAGCTCGGCTGCTAACCAAAAGGCCAGCAGTTTGAATCCACCAGCTGCTCCTTGGAAACCCTATGGGTTTCTGCAGGGTCGCTATGAGTTGGAATTGACTCTATGGGAACAGGTTTGGTTTTTTGGTTTGAGTTGGAGCCAAATGATGGCAACTGACAACAGCAACTCCAATATGACCTCATGTTAACTAATTATATCTGCAAAGACACTATTTCCAAATAAGGTCCCATTGACAGGGTAGGGGTGCGATTAGGACTTGATCATATCTTTTTGGAGGACACAAATCAACTTATAACACCTACTTACAGTGGCTAGCTATCGTCTTTAAAAGCAGAGAGCAGGACTGTGAAGGCACAGAACATCAAACACATTTTGATGAGGAAGAATATTCCAGAAAGAGGTAGAGGCAGAGCAGGAGTATGAAGAGGGCAAAGCCAAGCTAGAAACGCTGTATGGAGGGTGAGAAGAGACAACATGGAGGATTTGCATTTGCTGTGGAGGCCAGAACTCTTAAGAAATGAAAGGCAAACTTGAGCTGCTTTGCAGTGCTTCCCAGAACTGGCCCTGCAGACAGTTCACAGTGGATCACAGTAGGAAATGCTGTGAATGAAGACACCAGCCTTCTAACTCTGGCTCTGCCTCCAGCAAGCTGTGTGCCCTTGGGGAAATCACTTAACCTCTCTGAGCCTGTGTTCTGATCTGTAAAACGGGGCTGGAAATGCTGTTATCCTCCTAAAGTTGTGAAATACTGTGCAAACGCCCAGAATCACTGCTGTCATGAGCTGCATATGGAGTGAGAGATAGAAGGAGCAGGCCTCCAGCTGGAGACCGAGGGGACAGCTGGAATCTGGTGGCTGTGGAGAGCGCTGCTGTGTCCTCTCCTTTATCTACCCAGCCCAGTGCCAACCCCACAAAAAAAGGCTTAGTAAATATTTGTGGCCTCCAGTATACCTTGGGCCCCAATTTCCATTTCCTTTACCCCTTGCCACCTCCGGGAACTTTCATCACCCGTCCAACCACTCCTGGTCCACTCCTTACCTCAGGACAAAGCCCCTGAACTTGGCCTTCAGTCTTGAGAAAGTTTGTCATCAGAAAGAAGGAGTTGCCCTGCAAAGAAAAAGGAAACAAGCAGGAAAATGCGAGGCCTTTAGAACAGAACCACGTAAGCATAATAACCCGACAAGCTGAGCGCCCGGGGGCAAGCCTTCCCACTCTTCTAAGCTTCAGGGTCTCTGAACAACTCAGAATATGCCAAAGGGCTTAATATATCAAAGCTGGATGAGCCTCCCTGCTGAGCTGAGGAACATTCAAACTGAGTATTCGTTTTCCATGCCAGTCTCAAAAGCAGCCTTTTCATTTTTTTGACACAGTAAAATCCCATTAAATTGAAGAAACTCCAGGGACCTGAGGAGGCGGAGGTGGGGGAGTGTGGGCTTCATCTGAGCACTGTTCAGATTATCCATGACTTTAATTGAAGGGCATTAGGGCATCCCACCACCTGGGAAACAGCTGGAGGCGTTTATGACCTACAGTGAGAAACAAGCGCAGCAGCTTGGGTTTTGCAGCTTTGCAACACCTTCCAACTCGGGGCTGTAGATGTGCCCTTTGGTCCCTCCCTTCCCCCATCTGATCGTTACCTTTACTGTTCTCAACCCCCGTTTTATGTCCCGTTTGATAATTCTGCTTTGATTTTCTCTTCTCGGAAATTTAGACTGTGTGTCGCAAGCCCTTTCTCTGCCGTCCACACCTCTTCCCTCTTAGTCATCTGCATCCTTTCTTTGTGCAGATGAAATACTCAAGTTTGAATTGGTCTCAAGGAAACATTTTTGTTGATAAAATGCCACATACACAATATAGAAGGGCTGGTACTCTTTGGGTAGAAAGTTCCTTGCCCTTCTGAGTCTGGACAGACCTTGCTGACTTGATGGCCCTGCTTCTAAAAAGCCGTGTATAAACCAAGTGTGAGTGAATCAGACTGTTTGAAATGCACCAGGACACGCTGCTATTTTGAGAAACCCTGTAGGATTTGATAAAGCAACGAATCATCCCGTCTTCAGGCTGCTGGATCTGACCTAGTTTTGCAATTTTAGGTTTTCTCAGTTGGGATTTTCATAGGGCTGTTTAAGTAGGGCCAACCAACTCTCCTTTCTGGAGGGAGCCTAAGGCCCCAGTGACAGTGATCAGAATGTGGACAGATGCTCACCTGCAAAGGGAAGGTGTAATCTGCAGTGTCAAAGATGTTCCACACTGTCTTCTGGACTCCATTCTCCATAATTTCCTCTTTTACCTCTGCTGTCCCCTTCACCTTGGTGTGCACAGAGCTGATGACAGGCTCCTTCTTTTGGTATAGCCTGTCACTCCACAAAGCAAAGCTAAAATGGCAGACACAGAAAAGCACCGATGGTTTTGTTGAGGGAGGCATGGTGCAGTGGTTTTGGATGCAGATTTCAGAGGCTGCCTCCTTTCAAATCCTAGCTCTGCTGGGTGACTTTGGGCAAGTGACTTAACTTCTGTATGACTCACTTTCCCCATCTGTAAAATGGGAAAAATAGTCATACCTACTTCATAGGGTTGCTGGGAAGATTAAATGAGGTATGGATGCAAACTCCTTAGCACAGTATCTAGCACATAGTAAGCACTCAGTATGTAGAAACTGCTGCCCCCAATCTCAGCCTCTAATATTGCCTAATAGGGACCTTAATTCACAGGAGACAGCTTCTCCAGTACCAGCATCCAGGTCAGTCCACCACCTTTGTCCTGGGGCTCATTAACACGTCAGCATTTTCCTGTCTAAGGGTATGCCTGGTGGGTCAGCCACCTGCTTTCCAGGAACACTCACCTAGTTTATAAGTAATATCGATAATAGCAGCTACTATCTATTGAACACTTACTTAACTTAGTTGGTTAAGCACTCGACTACTAGCCAAAAGGTTGGTAGTTCGAACGCACTCGGAGGCACTTTGGGAAACAGACCTGGGGGTCTGCTTCTGAAAGGTCACAGCCTTGAAAACTCTGTGGAGCTGTTCTACTTTGTACACACGGGGTCACCATGAGTCAGAATCGACTCCTTGGCAACTAACAACTATACTATGTACCAAGGACTTTACATAGATCATTTCCTTTAATCTTCCCCTTTTGTAGCTGAGGGAATGGGCCTAGAGAAGTCAAGGAACTTGGCCGAGATCACACAGATAAGCAGAACTGAAGTCCACATTCAATCTACCTTACCCCAGAGACCTCTTAACCACTGTGCCGTACTTGTTCACGCATGCCATGGCTCTGCCTCTGGCTTCCTGCCTTTTGATCAGTTCACTAGCTGTTAATACCTTCTCCATAACATGAATCCAAATTATCATGATAGGGGAGGGAAACAGAGGGAGAAAGCTAAAAAAAAAAATTGAGTTTGAAACCTGTTAGATTTCCATTTGTCTGCTTTCGCTGTCTCCCACTGCCCTGAATAATTAAAAAACGGTTAATTTTAAATGCCTTGTTTACTCATTCAGCATAGCTTTATTTAGTCCCTTCTCTCTGCCCAGCTCCTGAGTGGTGTTAGGAAGTGAAAGCCAGTGGCTGCCCTCTTTGAGCTGACCTTGAGAAGCCAAGACAAGGTCAAGACTTGGCTACACAGTGGAATCACTCAGGGAGCCTTCAAAACTGCAGCTCTCCTACACCAGTGTTCACTACAGCACTACTCACAATAGCCAAACAGTGGAAATAACCCAAGTGTCCATCAACAGGTAAATGGATGAACAAACTGTGGTCTAGCCACACAACAGAATATTATTCAGCCATAAAGAGAAACGAAGTTCTGATACATGCTACAATGCAACGTGGGTGAACCTCAGAACATTGTGCTAAGTCAAAGAAACTAGATACGAAAGATCAAATTTTTATGGTTTTATGATAACGGTTTTATTATTCCATTTATATGAAATATCCAGAATAGGCAAATCCATAGAGACAGAAAGCAGATTGGTGGTTGCCAGGGGCTGGAAGGAGGGGAGAACTGGAGTAACAGCTTAAGGGGTATGGGCTTTATTTTGATGTGATGGCAATGTTTTGGAACTAGAGAGCGGTAGCGGTTGCATAACATTGTGAGTGTGTTATGTGCCACTGAATTGTCTACTTTAAAATGGTTACTTTTATGTTATGTGAATTTCACCTCAATTTTTTAAAAAGGAAAATATATGTATTTACAGATACAGGCATATGTTGTAGAAATAGAAAAACAGACAAGGGTGGTGTTTATAAGTGGAAAAGAAAGGGAATGAGATGAAGAAGGGGTTTGTAGGGAACTGAAGCTGGGTTCACTTTATTTCTGAAGTTGGATGATGGTACATAAGTGTTTATTATTTATTCTCAATACATTTTGGAATATCTGTAACAGTCAATAAAAAAGAAAGCTCATCAAGAAAGATGCTGGGGCTATAGATAGAGATTTGAGATCCAGCCAGCATATAAGAGACAGAGTTATTAAATATATAATTCCACAGACATATAGGAAAATACTTGTTCAATAATATATTTCCTCTGATTCTGCAACACATACATGCTGGGTGCAATGTCTATTTATGTTGGGTATTGCAATATTCTCCCAAAATAACACTGGGTCAGTTTGACACACCGTTTGGGGAGCTCAATTCTGATCTCAAATTTATTCCAGAATGTACCATGTGGAATCCAACCCTCTCATGATCAGAAAACCTGTCTTTGTGTAATAATGAGCATGTAATTTTAAGACTTGAAGTGCATCATAGCTGTGTCAAAGAAAAAAGAGGGAGCAAAGGGGAGCTGGCAGTATCCCTAAGCCCTAGGACCATTCACCTCCAAGAAGCTGTAATTCTCTGCATTCTGAAGAAGCAAAACCACTGGTCCCTGGAGCCAGCAGGGGCCAGAAGGAGTTGGGAATTTACCTGGGCTCTTAGGATGGGTGAGATAGAGATGGAGAGAGGGAAGCTGGGTGGGAGCTTATGAGAGAGAAGCCAGAGCTCTTTAAGGAGCACTCCCAGGATGTCTGGCTGAAGAGGAGGATTGTGGAGGGAGCAGAGGAGGAAAGATGGAGGGTGAGGGCAGGCTGTGTAGCCCTCAGGCAGGCACTCTGCACCAGACTCAACAGATGTAGACTAAGGTGCCCACCGTGAAGATTTTCTTCAGGATCCCGAGCCACAGGCTCTGAACGTGGATGATTTTCACAGACTGATACTGGCATTGACAATGGCACTGGCCCCATGCCAGCATGGCTAGAGGGTATGTGAGGCTCCGCAGGGAGGAAGTGCCTTTCAGGAAAGCCGATCTCTCCCCATAAAATGGCGGAGCTTACTGAACAAAGGTTAACACTGAAGCGAAAGAGTAGGTTAACACTGAAGCGAAAGGGTGTGACCAAAAGTGAACTGTCGTCTTATCTGGTACCTGATGGCTATCTGGTTAACAGTGCTGGTAGCACCATTGTTTGGCAAATCCCTGACGGCCGCCACTGCTTTCCTTCTTCTCCACCTCTTTCATTTTGTTTTCTCTCTCACAACCGTCTGTCCGACTCTTGAGATCCCAGCATTTTCTCACCATCGGTGTGGTAGACAGAATAATGACTCTCCTCCCCCGTCAGAGATGTTTGTGTCCTCATCCCCTGGGGATTGACCACCATCTGTCTGTCTGTCTTTCATACTCTGGTGGTTTGTGTGTTATTGTAATCCTGGAAGTTATACCTCCAGTATTTCAAATACCAGCAGGGTCACCCATGGTGGACAGGTTTCAAGGGAGCTTCTAGACTAAGACAGAGAAAGAAGAAAGGCCTGGAACACTTATACACTATTGGTGGGAATGTAACATGGTACAACCACTTTGGAAATCCATTTGGCACTTCCTTAAAAAGCTAGAAATAGAAGTACCATACGATCCAGCTATCCCACTCCTTGGAATATATCCTAGAGAAACAAGAGCTGTCACACGAATAGATATATGCACACCCATGTTAATTGCAGCACTGCTCACAATAGCAAAAAGATGGAAGCA